CCTTTACACTGATGATTCCCGGGGGTGTCGACGAGGAGGAAGGTTTGCTGAGGGGGTACATGGAGGAGAGGAGGGCGGACTGAGGATAAGCGCACACACACACACACACACAAACACACACACTGACCCTGGAGGTTGCGTTCCCCTTTAAAAGTCCCATCCCACTCAGATACGCAGAGCTCATGCAGGATCTGCTGCGGCAGTGGGGGAACACTGCTGAGCTGTGCAGTTTATGCTGCCAGCAAGCGTGCAAAGAAGAGGAGGGGGAGCAAGCGTGTACAGGAGGAGGAAGAGGAGGAGGAGAAAGGAAGAGAGAGAGAGAGGGAGAGAGAGAGAGCAAACAATGTCATTCTGTTCAGGAGGCAATGCTGCAGTCAAGTTTGCCGCGCCATGAAAGCACATCACCAGCAACCAGGAGGCTCAGAGTGAGTGCAGAGAAGTTTTCCTCCTCTCCTTCCTGTGTGAGAGATGCGGTCAGAGGCTCGTCCGTAGGTATACCTTCCTTTCCTCTCTAGTCTTATTTAACTTGTTTGCCTTCTTCTATGATGGGCTCTTCTTTCTGTAGGATTGTATACTTTTTTTATTATTATTATTATTATTATTATTAAATGAGCCTTGCAGGAGTTGATATGTCTATGTCGGTGTGCATGCCTGCAGTGTTAGAGCTCCTGGCGGCTTCTGTCTCATCAGTTTCAGCCTCCTCTGCACCAGCATTAAACCAGGCAGCAGTCTGCCAGAAAACCAGTCAGTTAGCAGTCAGGCTCCACTGCTCCCTCATCCATGTTTAACACATGGTACAGGCTGGAAATAGCAGCCAGCGTGTCAGATAGCGGCTGGTCCAGAGGACTCGCTATTTGACACAAGGACAAAAAAAAACTCACCAGGATGCAGAGTTCTCCACACCAGTGGAGAGTTTCATCTTTGCTGACCTAGCTTTTAAGAAGACGACAGGCAGCCTGAGCTCTACTCTTCTCGGCTAGCTGTGCATTTATGTTAACCAGCGTGTTTTCATTGCAAGTATGATGCTGGGAACTGGTGAGAAGGATTTTTCAGGGATCTTGGACTGTGTGAGTGTCTGAGTGCTAAATGGGGAAATGAGAATGAGGCTACAGTGGCCTGTTTGGGACAGGGGAGCTGTGGTGCAGTCATGAAGTTGTGCTGTAGTTACTGGGACTTTTCTGCCATCCTATAAGGGGATTTCACATCAGAGTGCTACTCTGTAGAGACTTTGGCACTAAACTGTGGAAGATGAATGCTTTCTGTTTCATTTAGATATTAAGTTTTTGTCTTTTAAAAGACGTCCTAGAGCAGGACCAGTCTTTTCTATCGTTGCAGCAGCAATATTTCAGCAACTTTGCTCTAAAAGAAGACGTTGCTACTTTTGTTTCGTTGCAGCATCTCTGTTTCAGAAACAATGTATAAATTGTTTATGGGGGTTAAAGCTTCTTATAAAAGTCAAAGTATTACAAATGCTTGGAAACCAGTATGGAAGGTGTGAATGGTGAATTCACTTGGCTACACGGTCAGCTCTGAGTTCACCTCGGGTAACTGTGCTAAGACCTTGAAAAAGCCGGCCCTGCATTGTCAGTTTGGTGAGGCTGGAGTCCAAGGCGTTTCTCTGGACTTTCTGTTTCTCCCCACTGCAGGCAGACGGGCACAATGATGATCACAAACTGTACTAAAGGGTCTGTGCTACATCCGGAGCTTGACATCATCTCGGAACATCTGCAGTTCTCCTGCTCACACTTTCTCTGAGGGTGGGTGCTACACTGCCAGCGAAGGGAACTGCCGCACTCACCTGATGTTCCTTGCACCTCGCTTCTGCCCTCCCCCCACCTCCCACCTTCTCTCCTCCTCCTCTTTCCTCATCTCCAATTTCTCTACTGTAGTCTCTCTCAGAGGTACAGTTGCCCAGCAGAGCGCCTCACCGGCATGCTTTGCACCTCTGTGATTCTGCCCCCTCCTCCTCCTCCTCTCTCTCAGCCACGCACCCCCCACCCCTCCGTCCCTGCTGAAAAAGTATGCAGCACATGCTCTCACCATCCTCCTTGAGCAATTTGCTTGAGTGAATAGAGAAAGGAGAGAGAGAGAGAGAAGCAGGAGACAGAGAGCCAGCAGCAGAACAGCAATCCTGCAGTGTCCTGCAGCAGCTGAGTTCCTGCAGTGCTGGCCTGTAATGGCACACATGCAAGAGTGCGCACACACACACACACGCACACACACACACACAGGAGGAAATACACCAAAGAGCATCATTCCCTCTTAGAAAATCTCAGACAGTCCTGATGTCACATGACCCTGCATGGCAGAGCAGGCCGTCCTGCAATGTGCTGGACTGAGCTTAGAGACAGAGGCAGAGAGAGCGAGAGGGAAAGACCCCCCCACCCCCAACCTCCCCTACCCCCACACACTGCCCATGGAGCACCACAGGGAGGCACTGGTGAGATTAGCCGATTGCCCCCCCTCCCTCCCTCCCCTCTGATGGTGCATTGTCCCGTTCCAGCACTCCAGTTCCGATGATGTAATCAATGCAGCAAGCTTTGAACTTGCTGGGCTAGGGGTTCCTTCTCCCACCCCCCCATCCCAAACTGACACAGATGCAAATCTCAGGCTTCAGCTGCAGTCTGTTGCAGGTAGGAGGATGAATAACTACAGTTCTGTACTGAAGTGCAGGGATACGTTCCAGTAAGCGGGGCTACGTCAGCGGATACCCATATTTCACTCATGAGTAAATTGCATAAATTATCAGCCAAGTCAGTTGGTGAAACTACTGCCGGCACTTTGTGAAAATACTTCTGTGCGGTGCCGCAACACCACTTCCAATAAATTAAGGCAGCTAACGGCAGGAAAATGAACCTCGTCTGCTCTTTTACAAAGCTGCCTCTCTAGTTGCTGTTAAGGGGTAGGCAAAGACGAGGCTCCGAGCCGAGCCAAAAGTGCTTTGAGCTCTTTCGGGGCGTAACATCGCGGTGACTTTGCTCTTTCATTGATAAGGTCATCAGTCTGTTGACAGGCTGCAGTGAAGAGCAGCAGCACTGATGTACAGTGCAGCTTCAGAGATGCTCAGGCAGCCAAACTCAGACCATATAGTAGCAGGTGAGTTTTGCTGAGCTGGCTCCTACCGCTGTTCCCAGAATCTGCCTAGTGATCAACTTCCACTACAGCAGTGATGAACCGGCATCAGGCCTGCTCTAGTAACGAAAAAAAAAAAAACCCAGCTAACAGCAAAGCAGGTTTGAATAATTAGCACTCATGGATGCTGATGATTCTGCACATTTAATGCAGTTTAATGTGTCAGCAGATAAATGGACACGTAAAGCACACTTGTATACTGCACCTTTTCTTTTCTCGCTGCATTAATAAACAGTTTAGAAATTTTGATTTCACTAAAAAATGTCACTTTTCCAGGAAGCAATTAATATTTCACAGCGTTTCATATCTTTGCTGATGCGTTCTCTGTGATTTTTTTGCAGTTTCATAATTCATGCCGACGGACTTCATCTGTAATTGATGTGACCCGCTGAGTTACTGGAAAAAACAAAACAAAAAACCCAACGAAGATTTAATGAATCAGCACCTTTTATTAGTATGCTATAAAGTATTTGCTCTTCTGTGTTAAAGATTAAGTAGGACTAATGCTAATAAGAGCATGGGTGAACAGCAGCGCTGTAAAAGACATTTCATCTACTTGAATCTAAATTCAGCTTCAGCTGACAAAGACTGGGAGGTTGGGACAGAGACATTTTGAGCTGCTTCCACCGGCAGGACACAGAAAGTGAAAAGACAAAGCAGTCACCGCCTGCAGCCAGACGTGGGCCAGGAAGTCAGAGCAGTTTTTTAAAAAGCGCTCCTCTGTCTAACACATTTTCAGCAGTCGTCACCCATTAGAGCATCTCCTCATCTCTGATTCTGACTTAAATGACTTAAGCATGTCACACAGAATAAGTCATAATGCACCTTCGAAGAATAACTCATGTGTTAAAGTGCTCAGACTGAAAGCTATGCTAACTGACCGAAGCAGGCTGAGTCATGCTGGGTCTTTTCTGGGTTTCCCCCCTCTCTGATCCTCTGCTCCTCCCCCTGTGCAGGCTCATACATCCAGCCCGGCTGTTGGTGGCGTGTTGGAACATGCCTTGACTTGTTGTACTGCCTGACTGAACAGACAGAGAGAGAGAGAGAGAGGCAGCCACAGGAGGAGAGGCAAGAGGCTGGTGGTCAACAGTTTTTCCAGAGTGAAGTGACCCACACATCGGGAGAGCCCGTGAACAGACTCCTGTTGATGCCAACACGTTGAGTGCACCCGCTGGAGATCACGCTGGATGGTGGACCTCTGCTGCTGCCTGGCTAACTGGTGAGTGTCCAAACTGTGTGTAAACAGATGCCTCTGACATACACAACAATGCTACAGCTGAACACTTCTGAGGACCTGTGCACTTCTGCTGAAACTGAGTGAAATTTTCAGAAACACTAACTAGTTCAGGGGAATTAAAATGATGCCAGGCTGAGGCCTTCAGATCAGCCTGTAAATCTAAATTAGAAAACGATAATTTAAGCCACTGCAAGTAGTAGAAGCGTCCAAGCTTGAGTTCTGATGCTGGCTTAATCCCATGGTGACTACACAAAAGGTTAGCGAAAGCTATGATACACCCAAACACAGTACCCAGTTGCACAGTGGCAGGATGAGTGACCCTTTCATCATCTCGTCTTGATCCTCACGGAGAAGGGCAGCTGTTTTTGTTATTGTTTTCTCTGGTATTCATAATGAAAGCCAGTTTTCCAACAGGAGACCCAGCAGGCCGCATCTTTCCCCTCCTGAAAAGCCCCAAGAGAGCCGAGAGCGAAAGGCTTTATAACAGGTCCTCGTTTCTCAGAAGTGATTTGTATCTAGCGGGATCTGATTCGAGTTTGCGACTGGACGGTGTGACAGACGATTCGAGCGGCCCTGGTTCTCAGAAGACAAGTGTCATCAGCATGTCAGTCAGGAAGCGAAATGAGATTAGGAACAGTGTACACAGAGAAGCAGATAAACGAAGGCCAGTCTGTCCACGCTGGCACACATTATCACACAGCACTGATAAACCCTACTGTAAAAACTCATGCAGGCCGGTAAAAACTCAAATACATTAATCACCCGAGAACTCAGGTGATAATCATTTAGTGTCCAACACGCTATGATCTGTGTATTTTAGTTGTGTGTGGTCAAGCAGGAAGATAGTTACTGGGGAAACTCTTTTTTTTCCCCCCTCTCTCTGGCAACCAGGGGTAGTGCAAGCTGAGTGTGAGACTCTGTTCTATTTAATTATTAACACACTGCAGTTTGGCGTGTAGATTCATTTAGCTCAAACCCAAATATGTTTTAAAATTGTTCTAAAAATAAAAGTAAAAAAAAAAAAAAGACTACGAGAGGCTAAGCTCGCATGTCATGTATGCCGATGTGAGCGTGTTGTGCATGTGTTAAACTGCTCAGCAGCACGGCCCTTCAGTACATACTGATGTCACTGTTTGCCATCAGATGATTAGGTTTGTGGAAGCGTTGATCAACCAAGAAATGTGCAGCAGAGTGACATGAGGAGAAACGGGGAAGTGAGGTAAAGTGGGAGAATGTGATTTTTTTTTCTCTCTCTCGTTTGGATTACACATCGTGAGGCCTGACAGCAGAGGGATCCACCATGAGCAGGAAGTATAGGCCAGCCTGGGGTTTGTACACGTGTGTGTGTGTGTGTTTTGGTGAAGTGTTGCTGGGGAAAATCGTTGCCTGGAGGCTGAATATGTCAGAAACTGTAGACCTACAGAGTCCCACGGTTATTTAAACAAAAGCTATTCTGAGGCAAACGCTATGTGCACCATGTGCAATGTTACGTTTGACACTCCAGATTACACACGTCTAACACTAACACAAATCTTTTTGTGTTTTTGTGTGTGTGTTTTTACGAGTCAATTTTAATCTGATATTTAAAGCTTTTAGTTACACCACAAAGGACCAAATGATGCTCTCTTACAAGCCATCGATGACACGTTAACATCTTAAACCAGGCTTGTTCATTTACATTAGCTTTCACGCTTTTCCTTTTCAAATTAAAAAAAAAATCATAATTTAGCAACAGGAAAATACATATTGGATCAAAAAGGACAATAAAAATGTTTAGTTTCACTTTTCCTACAAAAGAAACAAGGGTATTTTTAAGGGAATATAAAATAAAACTTTAATTTGTTTATAATAATTAAACATTAATGATTTTGTTTTGATCTTCCAAAAAATACCAAAACACTTTCCCCCCCAAATCTTTACTGTCAAGGTTTTATTTTGTTAGATGACAGTCGATTAATTTAGAAAACAACTCGTACTGCGATATGAGTGGTGTGAAGTAATAAGTATGAAAAAACCTGATATCACTAAAAATGCACACGTGAAAATGAGATGCAATTTTGTTCGTGTTGTGCACTTCCTCCACCTCCCTGTGCACACCGAGTGCAATTAATTTGCCACAACAAAGATAAAACGCACAATAAGCAAAACGCTAAGAAAAGAAAACACTTGATGAAAAGCGTTATTGTTATCTTTTCATTTAGCTTGTGCAGATGTGGTGATAATAACAAAAATTTAGTGTTAGCTGCATCGTCTGGACACATCCCCCTCCAGCTAAATTAAGATGTACTTAACAGGTTAAACCACAAAACAGCATTTATTTATCCGGTTAAATCCCTTACTAAGTCCGCTCGAGCAGTATTCATCCACACCTCTGACTAATATTTGTAAAAAAGGGGTTTTTTTCCCAGGTTTGGACAATACTACGGAAATATTACAATAGGGAAATCTGTGAGGAGAGGTGAGCCGTGCCTGAGGCTTTAAATGCATTTGTGGAAAGGCTTGTTAGTCGAGGCTCACTGCTGTTTGCTGTGAGAGGCGGTGGGGCGGCCGGCCATTCATTTAGCAGGCAGGGTTTAGTTTTCCCTGCCATTCTTCGTTCCTGTATCAGGATTACCTCAAGGTCTGAACAGGAAGGAATTCCTGTCATCATGTGCTCAGCGAAGGCGGCATCTAACTCGCTGCGAACGCACAAAGGGACAAGGATGCAGCTGCTTGGTGAAAGCAGGTCAAGGTGCGACCTCTGCGTTTGACTGTGGACATCAGTTGTGCATGTGTGTGTGTGTGTGAAGACAGACGCTGACAAATACAAATTTTGTGTTTGTTTCAGGCAAGAAGCTTCAGAGCGTCATAAAGTGCTTTCTTAGAATTTCAAAAAGGTCAAAATGCTTAAACCACAAATAAAAACGCTGGAATTTCCAGTTATACAACCAAAAAGTACGTCACAAGATAGACCAGAAGCCGACGCAGAGGGCCACAAATAGCCTTGCTGCAGAATTCAGAAGCAATAACAGCGGATAGTTGATGTAATTCAAACTGTTTGTTTTCCAGACGTTCCTCCCTCTACGGAACGTCCTCTCTTCCTTGGTTTAAGAGCATGTGCCTACCGGTCTCTAGTATCCATGCTGTCCTGCGAGCAAAGCAGTGTCCACAGGGAGACGACAGTATGGAGCGGTCAGCCAGCCCAAAATAGCACTGCAGCGAGCAAACGCAACTGATAGCATTTTAGCTGTGGTCCCTGAGGTACACAAACACGGACTAGCACTGTATGGAGCTAGGGTAAAAAAAATTACATTAAAAAAAAAAAGACATAACCACCCCCCCACCCCCCCAAAAAAAACAGAAACAAGGCTGGCAGCCACACAAATAGTTGAGAGCTAAATCAAACCGAGCTTTTTTGTTGCAAAATCATGAGTCATGGCAAGCCTATTCTTAGTTCGGGGGTGTTTGTGTTTGCCAAAGTTGTGTGCACTTAAAGTGATGCTGCACAAACCGGCTAGGAGGAGATCAAGAAATCAGTTTGGAAACAATCTCGGGGGTTCACTTCATGAAGCGAAACGTGGGCTCGTCTGTGCGTTGTAGTTGTGTAAATCTCAGTCAGGGAGCAGAAAGGGCCTCTATACTTATACACTTAATGAACAACTACTAACATTTCCTCCTGCTTTCTTACAGAGCTGCCAGAGCACCATGCCACCCTCGAGGTGAGGGGGGGGGCTTTCAGTGTGAGGCCACTGCCTTCCAACAACCACCAACAACACCATCACCACGAAGCTGGGAATGGAAAGCGTCAGCAGTGCCAGGCTCGCAGGTGGACACATGCACCAAAGACCAGTCAGGACCCTGCTGGGGAGAGCAAGCCCGGAGTCGGGTGGTTGGACGCGGCTGCTGTGGGTGTTTCTCTGGCAGTGTCTTAGCTGGTTGTTGTGAGGAGTGAGAATGAAGCAATCAGCAAGTATACTGCCGCAGAAATTCTTCGCAATAAGAAGCCCCGGGATCACAGCTGAGAGGGAGGAAACTGGGAGCTGGCACTGTAAGTTTTCGACCCTCCTAAGAGAATTAACTGAGGAGAGATCGACCGAGCGCACGGCCTCCGCAATATTTAGAAAACGGATCAAAGCGTCAAACTTCCACACTGTCTGTTGCACTATCATGATCTTCTGCTGCCATCTTGTGACTGAAAGCAAACCTCCCGGCATGCTTTTGATCAAACGCTGCTGCGCCAATTTGTGAAACCTTTGCCTTTTTTTTCCCTTTTCATTGAGACAAAACGAAAGCCCTTTCATTCAGAAAATACAGCTTGGCTTACTATGACTTTTTTTCAGTTGCAAATGCATGTTTTTGATCCCTTAATTTAATTTGCTCCACAGATATTTCAGGATGTAACACACAAACAAAAAGAAAGTGGATATGATTCATTCTTGATTTATGTGCCTGATATTTTATTTGTGACATATTGCTGCTGTAGAAAAGGAGCATTATAAATAAAGTTAGATAAATACTGATTTATATATTTTCCTTTTTCCTTACTTAACACAAGAATTTTGTAATAATGCAAAAGTGTTGCAGAAAGGCCCTTTGGACTACATTAAAAAAAGAACACTTTTTATTTAGTGCATGATGAGAATATTTCTGTGACCAAAGACGACCTAATGTGTGCAGATGAGTCAGGTGCACATTAATTTAGTCTTTCTCTCTCACTCACACACACACACACACACACACACACACACACACACACACACACGATGTTCTTCTGACTTTTTTCTCTACTCTATCTCAGAATCTCTCACCGTTATTGTTGATGCTCGATACAAAACAGTGTCTTAAACTGTCTGTCGATGGTGTGATTCAGGCGATAATGCAGATGCCGAGTTTGCTGCAGTCTGCAAGGGAAAAAAGACAAAGAAACCCCCCCCCCACCAATGTTCTGCTGCAAACACTAAAACAAGGAGGTTGCAGGTTTTTCTGGGCTGCAGTAATGCAGAAGCAGTAAAAGTCCTGCTCTGACACAAGGTCACCGCTCCGAGGGCTCTAAACCGTTTTACATCACACTTCTTTGGTAAACTGCAAATCACAAGGCCACCAAAGAATCATCAGCACTCGGGACAGGAGGCAAGCCAGATGTTAGTTGTTAGCTTCTCCTTTATTTCTGTGCACAGTGAACTCATCGCTAATAGAAATGTAATTTCAGGCAAAATTATGCTTTTATTTAAAAATGAACTTATTGCCCCAGAAAGCTGAGATTCCAACTCTTCCTGCAGGATGGGTTACCGTGAATTCAAAATTTAATTGGTCCTTTGTCTACATTTAAATTCACCCATGAAGGCTTTTATATTCATGATTGGGTGTTTTAAATAACTAGTCATTTAACCCATGCTTCAGATTCAATCACTTTCACACATTTGCAGCTTTTTCCCTTTTTTATATACCTGAGGATTAGTACAGTGAGGTTTTGGATACACAATTTTAAATGCTTTTTTTTTTTACCTTGCAAAGAAGAATGAAGTGAAACCATGAAAATATTTGTTAGATGCAATCTATGTCCTGTAGTTTACAACGTCATCAAATAATTCAAATAAAAACATTTCAATGTTTGAATTTTCTGCTGCCCATCATGTTCACAGCTGATGTACTTTTAAATTATGTTTTGTTTCGCTTTTATTTATTCAGTTCCTCTGTGCTCTTTGATGACACTTCTGCTTTGGTGCCACCACCTATTCATGTGTTTTGATTGCCTACTTTGCAATACTGCACTTTCTGAAGCCAAAATTCAGTCACTTTTTATCAACTTCTACATACATTTATATAAAAATGAATGAGTCTTGTTATTCAATGCACTTGCGCCAGATTATATTTATGTGAAGTGTATGGTTTTTTTTCATGTACAAAATAGTTATTAAAATAAAATCAGACGTCATTTTCTAACCTGAGCAGCGAATCCTTTTATGCGAAACCATGACAGGAATGGGGAAGCGGTTTCATCATGCTGTCATGTGCCGTGTGCGGTACTTTATGTCAAAGCTGGACAGCACAAACTGAGACAATTACACTCAAAAATAGACCCTTTGAGTGCCTGCAGGTTACCAGCTGACTTAACTTCTGCTTTGGGTTCCGGTTGGTGAGGGGGCGGCGGGGAAGGAGGGCTTTAAGCTGGGTGAAAAGTTTTGCTTGACTCCCTTAAAAGCAGTAGAAGTTTTTTTTTTTGTTTTTTTTTCAAGTCATGTGGCTCGACTGGACGGAGTGTTTTTAAACCGTCGCCTGGCCTTAAGGGAAAATAATGTGGAGAGCCCCTGGGAACATCCAGAATAAAACCAGTGCGCTCGGTCGGGAAAAGAAAGGTGTTTACAAACAAACAGAGACTGCGGTGTCCGCGAGACGACTGCAGCTCGTGCCTGATCGCGCTACACGATGGCAAACGCGACTCAGACTCAGGTGTATCTGTTCGAGCAGGTGATCGTGCTGTTCTCGTGCGCGCTATCTTTCCTGGGCTCCTCTCTGATTATCCTCACCTACATTATTTGGTCGGATTTGAGGACAACTCCGAGGAAACTGCTGGTTTACCTCTCGGTGTCTGACTGGCTCTCCGCCGTCTCCTACGCCTTCGGAGTGTGGAGCGTCTTCCGCACAAACTCGGCGGAGTGCGTCGCTCAGGGAGCGATTTCCACTTTCGCCAACACCAGCTCCTTCTTCTGGACCGTGGCCATCGCCGTTTACCTGTACGTGTTCATCGTGAGGGCCAACCAAAGAGTCGCTGACAGCCTCGTGTTGGTGTTCCACCTCGTCAGGTAAGCAACCCGCGGAGTGTTATCTGTTTACTAAACCTGCTCCGGTGGTACCTGCGCCCTGAAGCATCTTGGGATTTCGGCAGTTGCCCCCCCCTAAAGTTGAGTTTACGTCACATTTTCTGAGATTTTGAACAGCGACTTGTTAAAAGCTGCACATTCAAAACGGCTCCTTTAAACTGGGAATTAGACCACAAACACAATCCGCTTTGGCTCACTTAACGTGCATCTACTTTATTTTGTAACACTCTGAAAGTTGGCGCAAAACTCCAGTCTACTGCCAAGCTACGTCCTGACGTTACACCGCATAACGGGGTGACGTGCTGACATCACGGTGGGACCTGGTGAGTTTTCAAATATTAACCATGGAGTTATTAGATCAGTTCACGTGACGAATGTTCATAAATCAGCTGATGCATGACACGTGCTCACTTGTTTTCTCACCAGCTGATGTTACCAGGACAACCTGGATCCTCCGTGTGTGTTTCTCTGGATAGGAACACTGAATAAGGGACTCCCTAAATCCATTACACCAAGGGTGTCAAAAATAAGGCCCCGGGGGCCAGAAATGGTCAGGCAAAGAATCCAATCTGGCACACATTTTGGATTCTAAATGAATAAAATAGGACTTTTTGGTGAATTAACAAAAACTTCCAGCTTCATAATTACAGGACAGTCTGAGCAATGAGCTACCAGAACTTTTTCTGTCATTTAGAGCATTTATTTTGTACACTTCAAGCCTACAGAGTCGTCCTAACTCAGGGGCGGATCTACAGGGGGGGGGGGCTGTAAAGCCTTGCCTCATTTGTATTTTTAAAAAGTTTGTTTACTTAGAAGAGATAATGATACAATAAATACTTTCAAAGTGATATTTTGTGAACACCATTTACGTATGGGGGGTTTTCCACATACTTCACTGAAAACGCATTTACATGTTTGTGCTGTGGTTAGCACTGCTGCCTCACAGAATGAGGGTCCTGTGTGGAGTACGCATGTTCTCTGCGTGCCAGCGTGCTCCAGCTTCCCATCCTCAAACATACAAGTCAGGCTAACTGGTGATTCTGAATTAGTGAGTGTCTCTGTGTGTTTGTCCTGCAATAGATCGCCGTCTGAACTGTGCCTCGCCTTTTTTTTTTTCCACTACCAGCAAAAACAGAAAAACGAAAACACCCAAACTTAAAACGCATCACTGACAACATTCAGTCATACTGTCAGAATTTCTGGTACTGAAACTTTGGTGATTTATTTGTGGATAAATGAGTTCAATAACAGCCAAAAAGACAATATTTTATTTTCAAAGCTTTTCATTCATCCCACTCTTCCTCTTCCTCACATTCATTGTTTTCTGGTTTCATGGTCAAAAACATCCCCAACATGTCCACCCTGCTCTTTTCTTCCCTAGAACAAAACATTTTTTGTTTTTTCTTATCAAAATTCCTTAAAATCAATAAAATTGAGTCTGTACTATGCAAATATAAGATAAGATAAAGACAGAACTTTATTAATCCCTCAGGTGGATTCCTCTGGGAAATTCGGTTTCCAAATAGCAAAGCACCAACAGAAGTTACAGAATGTGAGCAGAATACCATATATACACATATATAAATGCAGAGACACATATAAATAAAGAATATACAAAAGGGATAAATAGAATAAATAGGAATAAGAATACAAGGGAATTGCACATTTCAAGTATTGAAGTCTATTGCACCGTTGGTTATTAACAAAAAGTATTGCACAGTGAAAAGGCACTACAGCTTAGTTGTCCCCCCCTCCTTTGTCCTCCTGTCTCCCCTCCCTCTCCCCTCCAGAGAGGAGTTAAACAGTCTGATGGCGTGTGGGACAAAGGAGTTTTTAAGTCTGTTGGTTCTTGTCTTGGGAGAAGCAACCTGTCACTGAACAGACTCTTCTGGTTGTTTAGGCGCGTGTGCAGAGGATGCCCAGCATTGTCCATAATGTCCAGCAGTTTCTTTATGTCCTTTTCTCTGCCACTGTCACCAGAGTGTCCAGCTTCATGCCGACCACAGAGCCAGCCTTCCTGATCAGTTTCTCCAGCCTGGATGAGTCCTTCTTTGCTGTGCTGCTCCCCCAGCACACCACAGCATAGAAAAGTACTCCAGCAACCACCGACTGGTAAAACATCCTCAGGAGCTTCCTGCAGATGTTAAAAGACCTCAGCCTCCTGAGGAAGTACAGTCGGCTTTGGGCTTTTTTATACAGGTGCTCTGTGTTGCATGACCAGTCCAGTTTATTGTCCACCCACAGCCCGAGGTACTTGTACTTGTTGACCACCTCCACCTCCTCCCCCTCTATCTGAACCGGCAGTGGACCTCTCTGGACCTCCCGAAGTCCACAACCAGTTCCTTAGTCTTTGAGGTGTTGAGTTGCAGGTGGTTTGTGTGACTCCATGCGACAAAGTTCCTCACCAGACTTCTGTACTCCTCTTCCTGATCATCCCAGATACACCCCATGATGGCCGTGTCATCTGCAAACTTCTGAATGTGGCATAATTCAGAGTTGTAGCAGAAGTCAGAGGTGTACAGGGTGAAGAGAAGAGGGGACAGCACAGTTCCCTGTGGTGCTCCTGTGCTGCTGACCACAGTGTCAGACGTGATGTCCTTCAGCCTGACGTACTGTGGTCTGTCGGTGAGGTAGTGGAGATCCAAGCCGACCAGGCAGGGGTCCACCTCCATCCTGTTCAGTTTTTCCTGAAGCATACAGGGCCGGATGGTATTAAAGGCACTGGAAAAGTCAAGAAACAGGATCCTGACCTGACATATTATATTTAATAATATGCACCCTGAGATAATAAAAATAAGTACTTAAGTTCAAATTTAAACAACATGACAGAAGGTTTCTCTCACTTTATGTCATTTTAAATCAGCAACTAATCTCACCTTCTTTTCACATCATGTGCTATAGTGACCATTTGCTAGAAAAGGAGGTCTCACCTTCAAATGATGCTTGGTGGGGACTCCCACTCCTTATACAATTCTAACAAGCTTGACAGTCAATATTAGGTATGGCTGCCTTTATTCTCCACCACAGTCTGAGCTGTCTTAGGCAGCTTTCTTGTAATTTCTTTAAGTAGTCTTCAGGAATAGTTCTCCAGGCTACTTGAAGGACATTCAAAGCTCTTCTCTGGATGTTGGCCACCTTTAGATGGTCACACACTGCTTTAATAATGTTGAGGTCCAGCTCTGGGGAAGCCATGATTGATAGTGAACCATTGTGTGTTATTCTATCCAGGTATGCCTTTACTGGACTGGTGTGGTGTTTGAGATTATTGTTGTGAAAAACGAAGCTGTGGTCAGTCACATTCTTCAGATGGCATTGCATAACAGATCAAAATCTGCCTGCACTTTTCTGTGTTCATAATTTAATCAGTTTAACGAGATCTCCAACGCCACTGGCTGAAATGCAGCTCCAACCATGATACAGCCTCCGATCTAGATGACTGTAGACCCTCAATGTTGTGTAGACACTCTTTCCTGACCTCCTCCACACATACTGATGATGACACGAGCCAAACATTTCATATTTGTATTCATCACTCCGTAAGACATGTTGCCACTGATTTTTCACTCCAGTTCTTGTGTATTTTGGCTTTTTCACTTTGTTCCCTTCCTTAAAAATGTCTTCTTAACAGTCACCTCTCCATTGAGACCATTTCTGGTGAGGCTTCAGTGAACAGTAGAGGAATCAAATAAAGGACCAGATGCATTCTCAGGCCCGTTTTTAAGGATGTGACCTTCAGACACTGCCCTTCTGCTGTAGATAGGTTTTAGACCTGCCACTTCTTCTTTTGTCCTCCACTCATCCAGTTTCCCCATTTTCTTTGAAGGACACACTGCACACCATGCTGAGAGGGCATGCATTTTTGGATTCTAAATAAATATAAAATGGGACATTTTTGGTGAATTTTTATAGTTACAGGAAAGTCTGGGCAATGAGCTACCAGAAAGATTCATTTTTTACAATTCAAGCCCAAAGAGTCAGGGGGAAGGGGGCATCGTGTCAAGTTTTCTACTAATAAATCTCTGGGAAATAAAAACATTTTTATCCCTAAAGATATAAAATATATAAGATATTAAATGGGTTTGTTTGTTTGTTTTTTTGCCAAGTTGTCTGTTATGTGTAGACATAACACTCTTTCATCCCTTGAGTCACGTGCTTTTTTTGTGCTTGAATGACTCATAGGTAGGGCTGCTCGATTATGGCAAAAATGATAATCACGATTATTTT